CGGTTCCATCAACTAAGTTTGAGCTTTGCTCAAGCTTGGTTGGTATGACAGTCTAATTCTACAAGACTGTTGGCACACGATGATTTTTTTTAAATGAGGAGTTCATTGAAGATTTATCTTCTTATCTAGCTACAAGAGTAAATTCGTCTCAAGGTGGAGATTGTTGAGAATGATACGTATTTCCTCCTGAATGGTAACTGCATTTTGGCATAAATTCTGGAAGACTAATCGGAAGCAATTAATAGGGGAAGACAAAAGTCTTCTAATATTTCGGTTATTATCTCAATTCATGGAGAATAGTTGTTTTACCTTCAAATATATATTCTCCATTCATTCATAAGAAAAAAGTAGTATTGAAGGAGAGCCAGAGAAGAGACGATAGAAAGATTGAGATACTTATAAACTCTTGTAACTTCCTCATTTTTCTCATATAGTGATATCATCGGTTGTGCCTGTGGTTTTTTCCCGCAAGGGTTTTTCCACGTAAAATCTTGGTGTTCTCGTTTTATTTCCTTAATTATCGTCGATTAATTATTACATATTCCATAATTATAGGGATTCCTCCTAATCTATAATATGTACTGAATGTCCATATCAACCAAAGAAGATCATGGGATGCATCAAAAACCTTATGCTACTTAGAAAAAACAAGAAAAAGAAACGAAATTCAGCAATAAAGGATAAAATTAAAGAACACATAAAAATATTGCATGCTCCAGTAATCTTTCAAACTTGTTTTCCAAACCTGAAGTTAATGTTCTACCAAAAATTGTACTATCACTTCATCATCTTCCTGGACTTGAATGGAAATGGCAAACATCGAGAGCGAGAGAGGGTGGCGACGGCAAGAGCGAGAGCCCCCTCAATCCCTAGCTACATTCAAAGAAACCAGAGATACTCAGTTGGGATTAACACACTCTAGAGCTTTGTGTTATTCGGATTAATCTTGGTTTTCTTCTTCAAATCACCATCAACAGTGAGAGGGATTGAGACTTGGACCGATAGATGCGAGAGTTGAGAGATCGGCAACCAATGTGGGTGAATTAGGGATTTTTTAGCCTCTGAATCGGTAAACAACTTTTTCGTTCTGGTTGCTGATTTGGTAAGTGGATCCATAAGCGGTCCCAGATTCAGCAAGAGGCTTTAGGGATTTGGGAAACAGCATCACATTAGTAAGAGGCATTAAGAGGTTTGCAAATGTGACTTAACGATATACCATGATGGTCACATCATAGTCATCCCTTTACATCGATGTTATCTTGTCTGCATTTCAAGCATGTGATGCACCCATATAAGCACCATCCTGGGTACCCCCTATGCTGAATCAAACTGTCTTGAGCATTCAACTTGGCCATATTTATGCCACATGTCCCTGAATCATGGAAAAATACAATTAAGTGCACATATACCCTTAAACGCACAAGATATCAAGAAAAAGGTAAAATAATACTAATAGAACATGAAAATTTAAACTATGAACAATAATATAATTGTGTGACTAGGTCCTTCGAGAAGCCTATTGCTTCCTGAAGTCCAATCCTATGTTTTTAACTGGGAAGCAGAAGAAGAAAATGATGCCTTCTTGCCCAAAAGTGACCTGCTCTCTAAATCCTGTATCATTAGGGTGGGCCTTGCTGTGGTGAAAGTCAACTTGAATAGGATATACATGTAAGAGGAATCTAAACTCTACACAACAAGACCTGTCGCGTTTACAATGTGCTTCATGGTCTTTGAATTGTGATAAAGAATGAAACTTAAAGAGACCGAAGAGTGTAGATATGACTGATGCACTAGGTGATGTCAGATGAAATATAAAGAAATACGAAGTACAAAAGAAGCTGATGACACTATTATTATGTCTAATACTAGAGTAATTACTAGCGGACTGATGCTTCTAAATTTCAGCCATCTCTTATATGCCTTTCTTATGTTCTAACTCCATAGAAAATTTTACAAGCAAAGAAGAACGCTATGCTGTTAATTGCGGTGCTATAGCGGTTAGCAGTCTTAGCTGAAATAGCAGTGGGAAATAGCAGCGCTAATCACCTCAATTGAGCCGCAATTTTGATTTGCAATAGCAGTGTGAAAACCGCAATTAGGAGTTGGGCATTCAATTGGCCTCTTAAAGGGTTTAGAGAAGTCGGTTAGGCGATTTCAAGCCAGGGGGCTGATTTTGATTTGCAATATTGTTGTGTAACTATTATATGAACCGCTATTTGTGGACTGCTATACCACCGCTTTACCATTGTGATAACCGCTACATCAAACCACGGTCCTGACCGCTATTTTAGATTTTGAACGCTGTAACAACATAAGAAGAACATCAAGACTCTAATCCCATAGTTAAAATATCATCTATTTGTAGTTATGATCGTATACAACCCAATACATGGAGTGGAGCATACCTTTGCTGGGGTAAAGAAAACAGGGAGGCTCCTCTCAGAACCGCATGCCCACCTGGAGTTGCAGATGGCATTGTGAGCAACTTCGAGATTAAAGCATTTGATGGATGTGCAAATCCGCATCTGGCTCTTGCTGCTATTATTGCTTCTGGAATTGATGGTCTTCGCAACCATCTTTCACTGCCTGATCCTATTGGTAAGACTCTCCAATTGTTCTAAAGTCACCTGTCTCAGTTTTCCATACGGACTGCTTTATGTTTCATTGTTTTACCTGTTATAATCTCATGTGGTATTAAGTTGATATAATATAAGAAACCAATCAATTATGTATTATTTTTATTAAGTGTTTTAAAAATTCCTGCTTAAGCAGCTGCTCGGGCATTAAGGCCCCCCTCTTGTTTCAATTAGTTGGGAACAATGAAATTAGTCATTTAGAAAAGTAACTGCATCAATGCAATATAGCGTCAAACTTGTAATTCTCGTAAGGTTAGTCAAAGGCCTAGCTTCACACAATGGTTAGACAGTGTTTGTACCATCATCACTTTCTTTTTAGTTTATAATTGAGCACAATTGCATAAGTAGTTACTTAAAGATGATCACAATATATCTTGTATCCCTCACCATTGTGCACTGCAAGCTATTCTGGCTCCAATTTTAAACTAGGGGCTTTTTACTAATCACTTACCCGCCTCTTACCAGGTAACTAAACACTAGCTGTTTCTTACCGTGTAAATGTATAGTTAGGTATATAACCTTAAATGAGATTTTAATTCAATTCATGACCTTCTCATGAGTATGGAGTCATATCTTTAATAGGCCATGAGGTCATGGATTTAATAAAAAAGTCATTTAAGGTTATATACCTAAATGATCCCTGTGTAAGAGATGCTTACCGGTCACGGATAATGGTCTTTACCAACAATTTTACTGTGCCATTTTGCTTACCAACAATCTTACCCTGTAAGTGAGGGTGGTGACTCTTTAACGCTTACCGGGTAAGAGACACTTAGGGGCAGTTTACTAACACTTACTTTGGTAAGCGCTTACCGGTTCAATTGCCTTACTGGATGAACATAACAAGGACCGAGAATTTTACCTGGTAAAAGGGAAGGCAGGGATCGAGCGTCTTACCCGGTAAGTGAGGGTGATGACTCTCACCCGCTAAGTGCTTACCGGGTTATAAACACTTGCCATCGATCCGTTTTGATGGCAAGGAATGTTACCTCATTAGGTAAGTGAGAGTTGTGACTCTTGACGGTAAGTGCTTACCCGATAAGGTTTGGTAAACGGCCCCTTATACTATGCTATTTTGATGACCAAGAATCTTACCCTGTAAGCGTTTTCCCGGTTTGTGTTGGTAAATGGCGCCGTAGTTTATATAGGCTTCTAACATTCAAGTACTTGTTGGGCATTCATATATGACAAAGATTACACAAGATGCTAGTTTTTCTGGATGATCGGAACTGCTCCAAGTTAACCTGGGGGGCTGTTATCTTCGTTTTCTTGACTTGGTTCGAATCTGTATTTCCAGTTAAATTTAAAAGTATTCTTGTAATATACTTGCCACTGGTTACTCTCATAGCACAATGGTGTTATAAAATCGACGCTGACATGAACTATTTTTCAAACTAAACAGATGAAAATCCTGATATCCTACGGGATAAACTTCAAAGATTGCCAGTCTCTCTTGCAGAATCAGTAAAAGCTCTTGTAAATGACTTTGCTTTAGAATCTTTATTAGGAGAGAAACTATTGGTTGCTATAAAAGGGATTCGCAAGGTACGTGTGTCGAAGCTTATGATATTTTATTTGTGAGCAAAAAGTTCCAGGTGATGAGTATGAGTTTTGTTATTATTATTTTACAGGCAGAAATCGAATACTACTCCCAGAACAAGGATGCATACAAGAAACTTATACACCAGTATTAAGGTAACTCCATGCATGTGTAGGATGGTGGTTCAGTGAGATGCAGAAAAAACCTTGTTCAGGTTGATTCTCTTAATGGATGTTTAGCATCATACCGTTGGCTCTTGAATAACTTATTAATGTTTAAAACTGTTGAATGTTAAACCAATTTATTCATCAACTGCTTTCCTTTTCTACATGATAGAAAGGTGAACCATTGGATCGACTTAAGATGTTAATTACTCCTGATTGCCAAATATTGGGTCATCTTAATGTTGGGGATGAAGAACTTGTGCATTGGGGGTTGTTTACCAAATGCTTACTAAACACTTACCCGCAGGAGTATCCACTCTCACTTACCTTGACATTCCTTGCCATCAAAATGAATTGATGGTAAGCATTTATAACCCTGTAAGTGCTTACCCGGTAAGAGTCATCACCCTCACTTATCTTGTAAAACTCTCGATCCTTGCCTTTTCTCACTCATTAAGATTTTTAAGATTCTTGGTCCTTGTTATGTTTACTTGGTAAGGTAATTGAAACGGGAAGTGCTTACCAAGGTAAGGGGCTGTTTGTTTGGCTCTTAATGGTGACATTAAGAGCCAACCTCTTAATCGGTAAGAGGTCAGGAGTGTTTGGCAAAAAAATCAATCCTCGTAATGGTTACATAACCCTCTTAACCATTTTGCATCCAAGGGTTCACTAAACGATTCAGACATCTATTTTTCCAAGTTTACCCTTCCCACCCCTTCTTCCCAACCCCTCTCTTCACGCACGTCGCCATCGCCGGTTGCCATCGCCGGTCGCCATCGCCGTCGTCGGTCGCCATCGCCATCGCCGGTCACCTCCACAGCTTCGCCAGTTGTCGCCGGTCACCTCCACAGCTTCGTCGGTCGACATCTCTGCATCTCTGTATCTTCACCTCCACCATCGCATCCCCCACGATCGTTTGTTCTTCTGTTCACCGTCTTTCCCTAACAAATCGAGTTGCAAACCCTATCGATCGAAAAAGGGGAGGAGAAAGGATCGAATAGCAAAAACCCTAATATCTCTGTTTTCGCCCCTGCTGTTTCTCCATCTCGATTGAGCCCTAACGGTGAAGGTAACACATCAAACATAAGAATTCTTGTTTTTTTTGAGGTGTGCCTGATTTTTGGAAAGAGCAGAGGCAATCAGAAGACGCAAACAATCATGTTTTGGTAGATGATGTTGTGGGAAACTGTTTATTGCAAATCTAGTTGGAAACTGTTTATTATTTATTAATTTATGATTTTATTTGGAAACAAGTAATGTTAGGTTGGTTTGGATTAATATGAAATCTTGTTTTGAACAAGTATTGTTACGTTTGTTTGGATTAATATGAAATATGTAGTTACATTTACAAAGTAATTGTTTTATTCAGATATCTGCCAAATAATTATATTTCGTTCAGTACTAAATCATACAGAGGGTTAAAATGATAATTTGTTGTCATTCAGAAAACACTTACCAAACAACCATATTTCATTTAGCACTTAACCATTCTGACCATCTTAACCATTCTGACTACTTAACTATTCTGCACACAACCATTCAGCAACTGCCAAACAGCCCCTAAGTGTTTAGTGAACGGCTTGTTGACGAAGGATTGTGTGAGAATATGAGTTAAGATGAGAAGGGCAAGAAGGGATTTGGACCCTTGGATCACTTTCAATCTCATCCACACCACATTAACTGTGTTTATCATGAGAATTGATCCTGTGTATCTCGGTGCATTGCATTAGTGTTGATATTCCATTAGGATCGATCTAAGGGTGGAGATCTCTTCTTATCCTTCTCACCATAACTTTTATATTTTCACCGGAACCCAACCCTAGAGTTGTTTAGAGCATCTCGAATGGAAGGTTCTTATAAGAACTATCATTGGAGTAGTTCTTCTTGTAAGACACTTGCATCGTTTTGAGTTTTTTTTACAAAAACCTTGGTAAAATGAAATAACTAATAGTTAGTTTGTTATGATCTTTTTGATTTTAATATCCTACATAAATATTGATATGTACATATAGGATCCAGAAAAAAAGTTTTTATAAGAACTACCAATATTTTCTAGTTTGTATTTGAGCATGCATTAGTAACTTTACTCTCTTATTGTGTTCTGTGTAATCCTTTATTTACTTTTAAGTTCGTTAGGAGTGAATAAGTTTAACGTTTCTAAGACGGACAATGACAAGATATCAAGTTTACACAAAAGGATTTGAGTTTGCCATTTAGACAAAAAATAGGTCGGGGGTGACCCGTGTCCAATAGAAACCTGCAAATGATCACTTCTATATTTACCACAAGAATACACTGAAGTCCAAATGTTGCAATAACCCAACAATGCTAAACCAAAACAAATAAGATGCCCAATGTGTTTAATTAAACCAACAACGATGCTAACAAAATCACAAATACAATGGAAGGCAACTAAATGATGTAATGATTTAACGTGGTTCTAATATTGGCAGGATGGTTTATGTCTCATAGAGAGAGGCGTTGGTTTGTAAATGCAAAAACGTAGACAATAGAAAGAACTAGTCATTGTTCCATAAATTAAATGTTTCTTCGAATGTGAAACTACGAGCAGAAGTAAATGCAAAAAGTAAATGTAAGAGCATGGTTATTGTAAGACTAAAGATGATAAACTTCATAGAAAAGATCAATACTTATCAGCAATATATCAACCCACTAATACCCGAAAACAAATTATTCAAAAGTAAGAATTTCACAAACTGTTTCTTGTCTGTAAGATGACAATAAAACCAGCTTAATCAACACTTAAATGTATGAGATCTTTGTCTTTGAGAGCTCGAATCACTTGTCACTTCTATCCGATTATTTGTACTTTCATCAAATTACGATTCATTAATTTATGCGTTCTTGATTTTAAACTAACATTAACTTCAAAACTATCTTCCTACTTTGTATTAGCTACTACTGAATGCAAGCTACCTCTTGTTGAAGCAATAGCAAGTTCATCAACTTACTTTTTAGAAACCTCAACTCTAAACCTCCAAATAAGAATAATAACATAATAAATAACAAACACAAGTCAAAAATACAACAAAACAAGAAAAGGCTACAAAATAAGGGTAAAAGATACTCTTTCATTCACTAATTTATGCATTCTTTATTTTAAATGATGCAAGCCGAGCTCGAGTATCATTATACTTTACTCGAACTCGAAACCCAATTTTCAAGCTTGAACTTGACTCGAAAACTCGCGCGTAGTAAAAATCAAATCTCGACTCGAACTCAATAACTATTTCTTAAGCTCGAACTCGAACTCAAATCAAGTTCAAAACAAGCTCGAATTGCAACTCAAATCAAGCTTGAACTCGAAATTCGAACTCGAATCAAGCTCGAACCAAGCTCACCCATTGAAATTTTAGGGTATTTTTCTTATAAATTTTAAAATTTAAAGGTGTTCTCTTAGTTTTTATAAAACTAAAGAGTCCAACTTCAAACTTCATCATCGAAAAGACAAAGTTAAAATATTCATTCACCTCCATCTCTTTTTATATTTTTGTTTACCATCTCCCTTCCAACTTCCAACGTGGAACAATTTCACCAACCCTTTGGCATTGATTATAGAGAGAATGACTGCGAAAAAGAAAGTTGGCAGAGTCTTTGGCATTGATTATAGAGAGAATGGCTGAGAAAAAGAAAGTTG